CCAAACAGACACAACACTGACATATTTGCAGATCTGATTTGTATACTTCCTTGTCATTTTACCTGTTGTACTGGTTTGGTGCTATCTGGTTTCCTTGCTGAGAATAATGCTGACCTGGATGGAGAGTGCTACAAACTTGAAAATGCCATAGAAATCACGTTTGCCAATTTATGTCCATGCAACTTTTGAATGACAACTAGCGAAGGCAGTGTCATTCATGACTTGTTTTATATGAAATAAACGTAAAATTTGAGCGATTATTTTTGATCACTCGATTGCTTCGGTGAAAAACACAGACCGCCATGATAATTGTGACGTATTAGTTGACCGGCATGTGTCCTTTGACCTGATGGGTCAAAAATGCCATTAACCAATCAGAATACTGCATGGTAATGCCGGCAGAACCCGAAATTTTCCGAATGGTAGTGATCATAAAAATTACATTGCGGAAGTAAAGCGATGTCGTAGCACGATGTGTTGGTATGGATTTCAGAGGAAAACTGCATGATGGTTTTCGAAATAGGTGATAAGCAATTTTTAAAAGGTATAAGAAGTCTTGAAAAAAAGAGTTTTTACATGATTCGCGATGATAAAAGTTCAAATGTATTTTACGCAATCACGCAATAAACACGTTTTTTTCTTGAGTAGCGTAAACTGATCGTGAACTCCGCTTTGCCCATGTTATATCGGGGTGGAATTGATTTTGAAAAAATGTTAGCTTTCAATCTAAAGACTGCGTCGATCATCAAAGTATTTACTTACGAACAAAGAGGTGCTAATTTTACAAAATTAACTTGTATTGTTTATAAGCTACTGCCACATCGTGCGACTACGTCTATTGTTTACAAATTATAATCCACGACTGGCAGGATGCGTGTCGGTCGGTACGTCGGACAATAGTCCTGGTCGGAAGCGTGGCAAGATCCCTGATAGCTACGTATTTCTTTCTATATTTCGTAATACAGTTCACAGGATGAACAATGAAAAAAGCACTGTGGCAGTCTTACTAATCACCGTGGCGACCACAGTGGCGAGCAGGAAAAGCAGCAAATTGAATTCTGCACTTAACTATGGTGAAAAATTTGAACTATAGTAAAAACTGTCTGAACAATCCCTATTTGATCTAAAAAACTGGCTAATTCAGTTACCTTTTTCACTCCTGTAATATATTGACTAGTTTGTGGCTAAAAGCAAAAAGAACCAGTCCGTTTGATTCAAAATGGTGGAACACTCTTACTGTTTATTAGCATTGAACTCTGGGTAATTAGAGCAATGACGTAATCATACTCAAATAGAATCTTCAAAACATTATAACTCCATATGGTGTTTGGTTTAGACAAACAAAGCTTCAACTTTCTTCCTTCAACTAGTATTCTGATAGCATCAAATTTCAAGGCTGAATTTTCTGAAAAAATGCATTAGACTGATTGAAATTGGAATGAAAGAATTTGACTGTTTGAACTACTGTAAAACCATTTATTTTCATTGGCATTTAATTTCACTGGAATTTAAGTCCATGAACATGGCAGGGAAACAATTGTTATTTTACATGTTGATTTAATTTAGCAAATTTACTCATTAGTGAAAAAAAATATATATATATAAAATAAATATAAATAATTAATGTGTTTTTGAAAAGTGATTGATTTAGGAATCATTTCATCATTGTGGCTTGTTTTTCTTTCTGTAGATTCTGAACAGATTAAAGCCACATTACAGCGAGGATTGGGCCAAGAAAGAGCAGTGTTACCACCAATACAACCACCACCAAGTACAAATAATATCAGACATGAAAGAGATACGTAAGTTTGTACAATTGATCAGCAGTAAAGATGTAACATCAGTTACATGAATTTTGTCCAAGAAAACATTTTATTTTAGAGGCTTATACTGTATTATCACATGCATAGCTTGCATATAACAACAGTGTGACTAGGTATAACAGAGCAGACCAAAAACCCATATCACCACAGTAGTGACGTAAGACAGGACAGATCAAACACCCATATCACCACAGTAGTGACGTAAGACAGGACAGATCAAACACCCATATCACCACAGTAGCGTCGTAAGACAGGACAAAT